CACAATATAACTAATAGAGTGAAACGTCAAGTCAGACACGATATTTCGGTGAAATATTATCCGATCATCGCGAAAATCGATAGGGATCATCTTCATAATGACATTGACATACAAAATAAAAATCAAAAGAATCTGTAAAGAATTGTAGCCTGTAGAGTGAGCACGAGTTGCACAATATAGCTAATAGAGTAAAACGTCAGGTCAGACACGATATTTCGGTGAAAAATTATCCGATCATCATGAAAATCGATAGATCATCATGAAAATCAATAGGGATCATCTTCATAACAACATAGACATACAAAATAGAAATCAAAAGAATCTGTAAAGAATTGTAGCCTGTAGAGTGAGCACGAGTTGCACAATATAGCTAATAGAGAAAAACGTCAAGTCAGACACGATATTTCGGTGAAAAATTATCCGATCATCACGAAAATCAATAGGGATCATCTTCATAATGACATTGACACACAAAATAAAAATCAAAAGAATCTGTAAAAAATTGTAGCCTGTAGAGTGAGCACGAGTTGCACAATATAGCTAATAGAGAAAAACGTCAAGTCAGACACGATATTTCGGTGAAAAATTATCCGATCATCACAAAAATCAATAGGGATCATCTTCATAATGACATTGACACACAAAATAAAAATCAAAAGAATCTGTAAAAAATTGTAGCCTGTAGAGTGAGCACGAGTTTCACAATATAGCTAATAGAGAAAAACGTCAAGTCAGACACGATATTTCGGTGAAAAATTATCCGATCATCACGAAAATCAATAGGGATCATCTTCATAACAACATTGACATACAAAATAAAAATCCATAAAGAACTGTAGCCTGTAGAGTGAGCACGAGCCAAATGTGAACGGACGGACGGACGGACGGACGGACCGACGGGGTGATTACAATATACGCCCATCTTACGTGTGGGCGTATAAAAAGAATACTTTACGACGTTTTTGACAGTGAAAATGTTTTACAAAAAGAGCGGAATGTCCCTTAAATGAAATGAAATTGGCTTTTCAGTCCTCTAATGCACCCGATTTGGATAATGAAGATGGACAATTTCATGAAGTGTGCTTTGAAAGACTTTTTCGGTTTATTTGCTCATCTGAACGGCTGGATGTTTTTGTCATATTTGCTCCAACAAACTCGATCACTAATGAAGGTATTGTCTCGATCTTTCCCCTTACATTCAGGGACAGCGAGTATGCGTTGTACTCACTGCTATGTACAGAAGAAAATCGCTTGGGAGTGAAATAGAAACGGATCAAGGATATGATTCTAATCGAATATAGTTTAAACGCATGTATGCATGGAATTGGATGTTATAGTAGCACTGGCCAAGGTCATGGTTTCTAGTTCGATGACTTTGGAACACAGGCAAAATTTTATCATTAGATTCTTAGAGAAGCTGAACTTAAACTAATATTTTTCACTTGAGAGAATATCAAAAAGATACTAAATGTACAAAGGGTGTATATATCATTTTGATATTAAAATATAATTGCGCTATGATTGACAGAACCTTGTAATACAAACCCTTATTTTTCTCTTAACGTGTCATTTTGAATTAAAGGTGTCAGTATATGAACATATTTTATTCACTGATATAAAAAGCTTGGATTTATCTTAAATGTTTTCTGTAGTTTATTTTGACATGCTAATAGTAACAGCTACACCTATCGCTTTTCATCCGTATGACATTTAAACGATCCCACTAAAACGCATCATATCATCAAATAGTGACAGGATGATTTTAAGCAGTTGTATTTTTAACAATACGCAGATACAAAATTCTGAATAGACTTATATATACTTATAGGGTATATTTTGTATAGTTAACCTTTTTTGAGTTTGTAGAGAGATCAGAATAAACTTCTTATTGGCCATAATATGTTTTAGATGTTTCTGATCACTACTTTATCGATTTGAACTTGACTGTAGTAAGTGTGAATATGTTTGCTATATGCAGAGACGGCGCACTGAGTGTACATTCTATAAAATGGCTTTTTATATATTTTTGTGTCAGAATGCAGCATATCAATTTTTTTCAAAACTTTTCTTGAGGGAGAATCCTCTCAGATGGGACAGTTGGCGCTATGGCGCTTCCACAGATCTGTCGCATTTTGAACTCGATAGTTTACTCTGCGTTGGGTCAACCTGTCCCCTGTTTGTACCCTTAGTATCTGAAGACTGGCTCCGTTACTTTTTTTTATTCTCCTTCCAGATAGTGGAATCACTGTATGCCCCTTGTTGTACAAGTGTGTGTGATGCTCTCTACCAGCATCGGAAGTGGGGCTTACCGTAACTATAGGTTATCATTTTAACGTTTCTATTGTTGCCAATCCCTAAACTTGTCGGCTTAAAACCCTTGTTCACAGACCCTAGTGACTTTAAACACACCTTACTGTCTGCAACCAGTCATTATCTTTTCTACTTGTCACACCAGGTGTAAGAAAGTCGGATAAGTCACCGTAATGACATACCATACGATCAACTCTACTTGTTTCCGCAAATGAAGATGATACTTTAATACAAGAGTAAATCGTTGGTGGCCGACAAGTTTCTATTTAATGATGTACATCAGAAAACTTAACACCATATATTCGTTTGTTCCATTGTTCATTTGCACTTCAGATAAGAAAACACAAAATGCTATTGTATTATCAAGTTACAACGGTCTGTGTTTAAGAATTTTGAACTAGGGAGTCCAAGTTTGGTAATGCTGCTAAGGATCATTCTAATTGAAAATTTTAAGTTCCATACAGGTATTACCAACAGCTGTTCGAGCGTCCACTAGAATATTAGATATTGTCATTTGTGCATTTTTCGTTTAAAAAACGGCAAGGACAAGAGCAGGGTAAAATAATAATAAAAGTTAACTTTTGATAGTACTTTACTTTTCAAAAATCAAAAATATCACAAATATGTTTAATGAATGATAAAACAAAAGAAAATTTCTGGGGACTTTTTCTAAAGCTAAAAATAACATGCAAGATCACAACAATATTACAAACAAACATAATTTTATAGTAATTCTCGTATCTTTGATATGCACACTTTTTATATATAACAGTCAATCAATATATTAATTATAACATTATACAATCTTTGATTGGTAGTATATATCTTAACTTATATACAATCTGCGATCAAATTAAAATATTTATATTAACACAAGACAATGTCATCTAGACATTTGAATACACATTGAATACAATAAGCTGAACCAAATTTTGAAATAGAGTTCAGGGGAATTCCCCAAATTTGTTGTACGATTTGCAAGAATATCAAAAGAAATTGAATATACATGAATAATGAGTTAAAGTTAACTCTTGTTTATTTCATTAATTAGACAAAAATCACTAATTTTGAGAAAAGCAGTCCACGGTTATCATTGAGACACCTGACACAAGTGACATTATTATTATAAAAATATTATTTAGTAATTAGTTATATAATTATATTGCACACTATAAACGGTTTGCTGGCAGGTTGGTGATGCAGTTGATACAAGCTATATATAACAAATATGCTGTCATTATATGTCTTTAATAATAGATTTAAACATTGGCCAATTGATTTCCAACTGTTTATCTAAAAGGTCAATCTTTAACTCTTAGTTTCATCTAATCATGTAAAACCTGTGTTTATTCAGCAGGTGATCGATTAATATACCACCCCTTCATTAAATTTACACCGATTCCTGCTGGGAGATTTGTCTCCCTTGCAATGTCCACCAGCTGCAGACGTTGACTTGAACACTTTGAATCTAAACACAATATGGCAGGACACAATAAGATTACATCATATTATACATGCATCACACCTTGTATTATTGTCTAGTCTAATTCAATAGATGCTACAGAAAAACGGAGGTCTCTAAAATGTCACACTTGACGAGGATGTTCTGGTTGAACGATTGAGCAAATTACTAGTGTCATTGCTGCCGTAATAAGTCCCTAGATACTCACATTGATATTGACTAGAAGCGTGTTAAGAAAAGGTCAGGTAAAAACGACAAAAGCGGTTAAGGAAATTACAGGTGAAGTATTCTGATGGGAGTTTTGTTGAGACCATCTGTGATGATAATACCAACTATTCAAACCACAATCACTCTCTCTAATTACCCGTATGTAACTTGATCGAAGGATTAAACGGGGATCGAATTCTTAATCTTATCCAACACTCACAATATACACAAGTCTTTAATTAAACTGTGATTTTCTGATTAAGATAACATCTCTTTTCAGCTCAAGTAGACAATTTTTCTCAACTGCTTAGGATTCTGTGTCAATTAACGATACATTGAGTTTTAACGCACACATATTAAATTTTATACAGATTATCTTGGCACCCGTTTTGTCCAACAATTTATATTATTGTAAACTGTCCTACAAGTGGGTTAATTTCGGTATATAGTCGTACCCATTTTGATTGCTGTAACCACCCATGGATGAGATTGAACAGCTCATTGAGTTCGACATTGGAGGTGCTGACGTCATACACTGTCCTGGCTGCGATTCCATACCATTGTAAACACTCCTCTGTGCCATCATATTGTTGTTATTATTATGGTATCCTTGAGATGTTGGGTTATGGGGCATGAACATGTGCCCAGCTTGAGAGTATGCAGACGTGACGGAATTTATTTGAGATCCTGGAGACATAGTTGAACGGGGCATTAAAGATGGACTCTCGGCTTGAGGAACAGGACTGACTTGATTTGGCATACGCATTCCTTGGATATTGGGATTTCTTGATTGCTGTTCACATGCTGGATGATTTGGGGAATGACCTGATGGAGGAATACGATGTCCATTTATAGAATCACTATCATAGTTCATACCTAGACAATCTGGACTAGCACTGAGATCATGTGAACCACTATTTTCTGTATCACTTCCACCATAACCGTCCATTTTATCAGAACCACCCTTCAGTCTACAATCCTTTTTAAATTTCATTCGCCGATTCTGAAACCAAATTTTGATTTGACGTTCTGAAAGATTGAGTAGTGCTGCCATTTCAATTCGTCGAGGTCGACACAAATAACGGTTAAAATGAAATTCTTTCTCTAATTCTACCAACTGAGCGCTAGTGTAGGCTGTTCGGGCTCTCTTGGCTGGTTCAACTGAAATGAGAAAATATAAGAAAATAAATTAAAATAGTCGATCAACTCAGATTGGTAGTTCAGTTAATTTTTCTCAAGGCAAAAACAATTCAGACATGCTGTCGACTTTCATGTCTTTCCCATAAACAGATATGTACTTTTATATTATAGGCTCGGTTGGTAAAATCTTACATCTGAATTTTGTACACAAGCTAGTCAACAAATAATACAAACGGATGTAGGTCATCACCTAGAAATTTTATGAACGAGAGCAATTATTTCAGCAGTAAAAACCATGGTGAAATATCTAACATTATTGTATGTGTTTAGAATATCAAATTGTGGAATAAGTGCACTAAGTAATACCCAAACACTATCAGTTTACTTGCCTGACAGGTTTGCATACAATTATAAGGGCCTGTTTAATAGATGATACATGGCGTTACATGAGCCTTGATCATTTATGATATAGATACTGTTTAGCATTTGATACCTCATACAGACCTTTACAAATAATTAATAAACCTGTCCATTCCTATTGAAATTATACCAAAAATTTGTCAGACGATGCACCTTCAATAAAGTAATTGTTGGGGTATGTCATATATTAAAACATGAATTATTTCATGGGTATGACTGCTTCATGCAAATTCACTTTTCCTTTATGATGTTTAAACTTCATTATACATATACATGTATTTCAATTTCAGATCGTTTGAGAACGCGAAGTTTTATGACTGTCCAAACAAGAATTGAAGTTTCAGAAATTCCAAGCCAATTCAGAACGATTTGTAGTCGCACAGTGCATATGAGTAGTTCTCGAATCACTTATTTGACGAATGCACTTTAGGAATTTTAAAGAATTATCGTTAAGTTGAATTAACATTAGTTTTTAGTAGTCATAATTATTGATGAATTTACTTATAATATTTATGAATTTTCATAATTGGGGTAAATGGTCTTCATTAGTAAAATTGGCAAAGATTCAAATAGTATTGGCAACTACTGAAAGAAATTTTCTTCATTCTATACATCATATGTTACCTATGTGAACCACAGTAGTGGTAAGCCAAGTTTGTGCATTGTAACTTGTTTTTTGAATCTTTGGAAAAGAAATAACCTTTCCGATCTTTTCATTTCTTACTATCAAAACCTACTTTGTTTATAAATATGAGATAGGAATGAGGGACAATTGAGAAAGGGAACTGTCGTTTAACTTGCGGGGACGCATTAGGTTTTATAAGGTATTTTGCCCTATTGGCTGAATGTTAGACATGACCACGTCCTTTTGATGTATTGAATCTAATTCTGACTCTTGTAAATTAAGATATTTTTATTATTCACGTATTAAGATTCGACATGGGATTGAAATGTTCAGTTTAATATATCATATTTGATATGTCTTATCAAATTCCGAAATTATTTAACCAGTTTAGCCCGTAATGAATCATACAGAAAAATGCCATAAGTTAAATAATTAAGGCACATCACGTTATATTGCTGTACTTGTATGCGACATTCATGTTTTGTTTATTAATTCAGAATTATTTGTGACAAGATAAACTTGTTAACATTATGATGTTAATACTGACAATTTCATCCCAGTCTAGGATATATGACGAGTATGGCGTCAACGTACAGTAGTTTTCAAAATGCAATAAACGAGCAGTCTTGAAACAGAATGATTTTAAATAATTGAAAAAGTGAGATCAGTAAAGCAAGACATGTTTTCAGGTTGTACCAGTATATAGCACGACTGGAAACTTTCATGACAGAATCCCAAAGAGTACTTTAGTGTCAACGACGTTATATGTTATGAAATGTAAAAGGATACCAACGTAAACAAAATGTTCCACATTTTTCCGTTTTTGTTTTGTTTAATATTCAAATAAGGATTGCAATACACGTATATATCCTGTAAAAGAGCAGTAAGCCATCGTCGCCATAAAGGGTCGTTTTTATGTGACAATACTCTTGTAACAGGCACGAAAACCTGCGTAGGATTTAAGGAATTACAGGTCATGACAAGAATGTTGAATTTGCATAAAACGACCTTACTCTGTGCAAGTTCTTATCTGTTAGACTTCGGGTTATCTACACTTCAAGATGTATAAATATTTTAACAGTTAACCATAAAATGATTCAGACAATATTAGGAGACAATTATTTTTTACTGTCAATTAGTCCAAGGAACGATAAAATCTCACCAGAGGAAAACACAAGACTCGTATAAAGATAATAAAATCATCAATGTACGGAAATGAAAAACGATAACCTCACAAACTAAATGTCATGCAATATTGAGATAGCATTCTATCTGATGCTTACAATCAAAATAAATTTGGCGACAAGAATATTTCTAGAGATATCACAATTTTTTAGTTTCTGAACAAAATTAGTCTTTAAATATGTTCACCTTTTGTCCTGCCGTTTATACTTGAAATCTGTAATCTAATTAAGAATGTAGATGTTCCAAACCGTATTGTCTTACCTGTTGCGTAATTATCACATCGTAACATGATTTTATTTATCACTTTTATTTTTTATTATGGATTAATATTATGTTATTTCGTGATCCGAGTTTGATTTCAAGTTTTTAAAAATTAATACGCGTGGTTCTATTACCTAGGGATATAACTCGTATACAATTGCAAATCAAATTTTAAGTTGGAAAAATCAAATAATATCAACCGAAATAACGTTTGTTATTACAGAAAAGTATGCAATACATAAAGTCATAATATGGCGATGTTTTACTAAATTAACAAGATTCACAAACATTGGACGAAAGAAAATCAAATATTTACCAAAGTTAGTCTTCAGACGGACAAAAGGAAAGCGTTGAAATCAAAAACTTATAGTTCATATACTTGGTCAAATCTATACTGTGTACTGATTAAACCTGATTTAAAGTAAGACGACAAAACCTAAACTAAGCCTAAAGCTGACCCTACACTGGTTAAAGTTACCTAATCAAACCAACCAAAACAGGTTAAAGATAGATCATCTGGCAATCTACATTGGTGAAGTTACTAGAACTTGTTTAAGTTGTCTGATCTACACTAGTTAAATGTACCTGACCTAAATTTGTTGAAGATCGCTAATCAACCTTCACTAGTTAAAGTTACCCGATCCCCACTGGTGAGAATTACCAGCTGATCAAACCTATAATGGTTAAAGTTATCTGACCACAGATAAACTGATTAAAGATGACTGATCATACTACCTACACTGCTTAAATTGACCTGATCACAACTAAAATAATTAACTGAATAAACCTACATTGATAAAATTTACATGATAAATAATTTTAAATGTTAGTCGAAATACACACTCGGTAAGTCGGTTTCTGAATCTTTACACTTTAGCTATTCCACACTGTTATGTCAATTAAAGCTTTCAAACCCTACATTGGTTAAGTTAGCTCTCATACTCTACAGTGCTTAAAGTTTGATAATCAGACCTAAGGTGGTTTTAGTTAAGAGTGTACTACTCAATGGTCACAGTTAGCTAGTCGACAACTCCCCTTAAAACCTACATTGGTCATACAAAAATAATTAAATAATGATTAGGTGTTATTAATGAAATTATTCTAACAAAAATTAATTGATAATTCTTATTCATGTTAATTTGTGATGGATTACTAAATTGTTGGATCTCTAAAGCGATCTTTCATGACTGTAATATTTCTTAACTGGAATCAGCGCAGAATAAAGAGTGAGTGAAAACCTGAACCATCTTTTTTATACTATGAATTTATGAAATTCATTAAAGTTAAATCACTGTTATAATCTTAACAATGACCTATTTCTAACTTCTATTTTTCTCGTAAACCATGCGGAAAATGAATAGACAATTGCACAATCTGACGTGTTATTATATTCAATACAGATTTCGCCTTTGAAATATTGATTCAATGAGAGGCATGTTACATATATTATAAAAGAAACATGAAGTCTGTATGTGTTGTTAGTATCAAATGTTCGAGATATGAACTTTCAGGTTACAAAAAAGGCCTGGACTGAAACAGTACATTGAATTGAATTACTCAAGCAAATTCAAAAAAGAATTTCTGCAAAGTTAGGTTTTAAAAATAAGATTATGATTTTGGGAACTAAATGAAATGATATTTCTTTTCGTGTAATATGGGAGGTTAGCTCCCAATTAATTATATTGATGCAAAATTATATTTGTTAATGAAAAAAGTTGGATGAGATAGGACTTCTGAAAATAATTATGTGTATACAAACAATATAGGTATACGAAAAGTGTTTTCGGAAGATCAAAACATAATACTAAGATATCATAACCAAACATTCAGACCAACCAATGCTGACGACTGGGTTAGGGGCTAGCATTTAGAACAAGATACTTTAAAAACAAAGATTTATGTCTATGACAATAGAAACATGATAACTTGTCGTATTGACATTATCTTAATATTATCTGACTTTACAATCTTTAACTAAGATAAATGTCTTAAAACTTATGTTTTGAAATCCATGTGTTGTTTCTTTTTATGCACTTGTTCGTGATTTTTCCGATTATTTATGAAGAAAACATCTATGCGACTGTCCTTAACATTTCCCTCAATTTCAAAATCGACAGTCACTTACAGCAACAAGAAGGTAGAAGATGATAACAATTTTCAGTTTATGAAATAAAAACAAATCTAGTTATCTAAATGCATTGAATTTTGCATTCCGTATAAATAAATTTTTAATTTGGCAATGACCAATGTACGATATGCAAATGCGTACTTTTGCGTAGGTTTTTTTCGTATGATGTTTATTTTCTTACCTTTTCTCGCACAAAGACAAAAAGATTTCTATATAAATGTATTAACGGAACACTATTTTAAGATATACCACTCCTTTTATTGCACACAACGTTTCAACAATCTACATAGTTAATCGTTATTTAATGTGATCTCCACTACTGAATGTCGCTTAAGGACAATATACGTATGTATATAAACTCTGTATTTACTATTCTTCTACTTTCCTGATTTTGTTTCAAAAGAGACAATCCATGCAAACGCTATAATTATTTTACATTTAAAACCAAGAATAATCATCCTCAAATGAGTTCAAAGCCAATAAAATGAGTAAAATCTCAAAATAATTTAATAGTTTGTGTAAAGTAATGTATATGTTATATATTCAGTATAATATTACTAAGTCATATATCATAAAGTTCAGATATTTAAAATATAATTACAACCATGTCATGAACACAATTGCTTTTTTAAAAGTTGAAATACCCAATAATAACAACATAACGACGGTTAGAAAATCAATTTTAGCAGGTTACATTAAATTATTTTTCAAATCGATAATTTCTAATGCACCGTTTCTGAGATTCGAATCAATCTACATTTCATATGTTACCATTAGAATGAAACTCTTTTCATAACATTAATGATTGCAAAAATGCATAGAAATGGACATAAAAATATTAATATTATGTTAAATTTTAGGAATGTTTTGATTTTCAATAATTACTTAATAATAGAGTTGTTAATAATGTAGAAATTTAATAATTATCACATGATATACATTTTATATTGTTTTAATATTTGAATTAAATAAATAAATGAATTACATTTCTTATCTAGAAAATTAAAAATGTTATTATTGTAAGACCAAACTGATATTTATAGTGATAATGACTTTAAATGTTCTGGAATTCGCCCAGATAATTTCACCCTAAACTTAAATGGAGAATAACTGTAATTCGTTATGTTGACTTATAGCTTTTATAAATTGAATTTTACATTTTTTTCTGTCAATTTAAAAACTCATATGAAATCTACCGTAAATATCTGATATTTAAATCATCTTTATTCCATACAACTTCTAAAAAAGAGTTAAGTTTCGTCAGCCTTGAACATTTGATTCTGACTTATAATTAACATTTTATAATTTATCTTTAACTGCAATAATTGAAACTTAAAAAAGTAGAAGAAATTCAGCCAATGGTGACTAAAAAATTAATCCATATTGAAAAGGAATTGAATTAAAGAGAACTATTAAATCCATCAATTTCTAAACTTAGTAGAAGACAAAAAATTTCTTTAAAGCATAACTTAAAAATTGAATTATTCGATACTAACGTCAATGGCCACAGTAACGAATATACAGATTGAGATGTCATTGTGCTGAGTTGGGGAATATTTATTGTGAGAAATACGGTCAACGGAAATAAAAGATGCTAAATAATGAAAGGAGATGAGATAAAATGGTCGTATTAATATTACATGTAACTTTTCACGCCTCAAGGAATAAAGTTAACAGCATGAACACGGGTTAATTGATTAGGAAAATCCGATTTATTAAATTGCTTTCTAATGCAACCTAAATACGAATTGAATGATTTCTATTAAATATTGTTAGAATAATATTATGAATTGGTTTGTGATAAATTGATTCTGTTCTAGAATCAACATTATTAAAATTAACCAATGAAAATATTGCCGCTCCTATTATGGTTAAAATAAATTTATTCTTTTGCAATGTCATTGTTTCTTCTAATGTAAAATATAACGTCGAGTAAAAAAGGGAATAGCTGTAATAGAATTCATAAAATTGTATTAATTCATTTCGAAATTGTTTTGTAAGGGTGTGTCGATATTCTATCCAAGATTTTAAAGCTTTTTTCAATTTTTCATTCTATATTTGAAAAATTATCATTTTAAAATTATATTTTCTTTATTTTATTTACGAGTTTTTTTTTTTATTTCACCAAAATGAAATAGAATTATGTATTATCAATTTCATATCTTTTATTCATATGCTTATCTTTCATTTTAATAACACACTAATTATAAAAACATAAAAATAAAATATTTCATTTATAAAATTATAAAGATAAATTGGAATGATAAATGGATATTAAAAATAACATTATTTATTGATATTTAAACGGCATTTAAAAACAGCAATTCAAATTACTTATTTTCAAGAATTTCAAAATTTTTCTCATTTTCCAAAAAATTCAAACAAAGTAGCCTAAGTAACCGTTTAAACCAAAAGAACTATTAAGTATTTAGTTGTAAGAATTGAATAGTTAAAGTCAATCCATAAATCAGCAATTGTCTATTTCATCCGCTTCCTTTTTCCATCAACTTTACTATCATTAAAGTAATTGTCTTTAAATGTTATTGAGAATGATTTACTATAGAAGGTCGGTATCCATCCGACTCAACCAAAACAAATCATTTTTTATGACCTTATGAAGAAGACTGTGGCACGTGCGAAGACAGAAAGGCTAATTCATGGCTCGTTTATCAAACTGATTTTAAAAAATGAGGTAAAGTGTTAAAAATCTCTTCAACAACGGTCATCTTACAGTTACGACAGAGCTGAGGTTTACGATGACTTAATGAGGCTATAACTCTTACTGAGTCGATCATTATGGCTATTAAAACCTACTTCAAGCCACCAAATAACTATAAAACTATAGACGGAGGTATAATATTCAGTGTTAAGATTAAAAATAAAAGTGTATCTTACCTGTTTGAGTAGTTGTAGCAGTTGGTCTCTGTTTACTGTTATGACGAGAATCTTTCATCCAAGGAAACACACCTTGTCCCTTTCCATTATGTCCTGGTTCCTGAAGGTTATTCGATCCTGGATGACAAGCTAGTGGATTACTCTGCATACATGAATTGGTGTATCCATCGTTGTATTCCGTAAGGGTTGGACACTGGTCACCATTCTGTGACATAGGAGGTTGAACTGCGCAACTAGTGGGACGGTAATAGCCAGCGGCAGAATCTGGTCCCATCGTGCCGTAAGTAGCGTAAGCATTCTCATACTTATAACCATTATCATGTGGGTAATATCCTTGGTAAGCCGGCATGCTGTCACAATATGTTTTCTGCATCTTTCGATTTCCTAAATTTATTTCTCGAGTTGTAGCGTTCAACATACTATATCTTCAATATTCATTGCGTGTCCCGACCCAGTCGGCTATCACGTGACTTTTCCGTAGCCAATGAGTGTCGGCTGGATCCCTGTAGTGCTTGATACTCTCTGAAAGAAGAAACATGTTAAGTGAAGCATTTCAACGGTAATGAAACAAACATCAATTATAAACCCAACTAAAGAACTTTGATAAATTACACAAAACTGACGAAAATTTGTTTAAATTCATTTATTGTTTACTAGTGTCGAGTCTTTTCAACTCGACGTTTGAACTAGACTGACTTAAACGCTTTTTAGATGTTTGAATATGGAGAATCTTGTCGTGCAGTCTACAATGTAAACAGTAATATTATTATGTTTATTTATCTTTTATAACGTTTCTGTTTGTATCATAATGGATAATCAAAGTATACTTGAATATTTTACGGTAGGTTTAGTAATTGTGAAAGGAAATGACGTTAGATTTTTATACAAAGACCTAGTCGATGCTTGAATTGAAATTCAGTTGACATCGTCATAATTTTATGACTTTAGCCATATGTAGACATATTTTGCGATAATTATTATAATTTTACCAGTAAAAGTGTCAAATTTTATGAAAAGCCATTATTGTCATTATTAATAATAAATTGAACAGATTGTACAAATATGTTTAATGGACTTCATCTAAATTATCTTGATGATATTTTTGAAGCAGAAATGGAAATGAACATTTACTAATAATAAGATGTATATAGATACTACATAATAATTTCATCAAAGCAGTTTATTTTTAAAACCAAAATCATATTTATAATACTGCAAAACTGGATCATTTTGTGGAAAACAAGATTGATTACAAACCTAATTATCTACATGTAGATTACTGATATTTTGCCCCGTATGTCATCAAACCCATGGTTGCATGTGCATAACGAACATAGAATGTGTTTCCGCATAATATTTTAGGTATCACAAATTTACATCAGTGATGTTTTGGATACAAGGTTGGTTGAACAAAAACGATTGTTTCTAATTAATTTTCTCATGAAAAGTTTGCCTTGGCGATATGAGATGTCAATTTTAAAATAATGGTGTAGTTATCAAGATATTCTCCTTCCTAACCTATATAATCAAATATCAACAAACCATAAATTGTGTAAATTCTTGCATAAATGAAAGTTTTCTGTTATCATGACACCTCTGGGTTAAAAAATATTTTCAGTAAGAAAAAAAGTATAGTATCAAATACACAGTACGTCTCATATCTGACAGGCTTTCACATTTTCTTCAACTAAAAGTCAGATAGTGTTACGGTTATTTCTACAGTAAAAATAGCGAGGAAAGATAGCTACTGATTAAGTCATTCTGTTGAAATTTATTATCATACATACTGTCATTGGAGAATATTGTAAGAAAATAACACTTATATGTTAGTACCTTTTAAAATACTCTGGCTTATAATCATTTTCTACATCTGGTTTTACATTTCAACATGTTTTCTTTTTGTTCAACAAGAGCAGTTTCTCTTTTTTGTTAGATGGTAACATTTTTTAGAAAATAGACTGTATGGAAGTAAAAATGTTTTGGCTCAGTTTGCCAAATCTTAATACAAAAAGATAAAGTCTTACAACTCAGAGCTTAGAAAATCACTTTTGCAATTTTTTGATTCCATGACATATATCGTGCCTTGTAACATGCTATATTTTTCTCTCTTTCTGAGTGTCGTGGACTGTTATCATACTGATGGAAAACCTGATGACATTCTGCGACTGGTCAATTACTTTTGGAAAGCCCATATGTACTGCTTGATGTTTTTATCACAATTTTATGAAACACAAATATAGATGTTACACAAATAACATTGCCTTTAATTTTAAACTGCGTAATCATAGCTAATATCAAAACATTAAAGTTTACATTATTTCGTTTCAGATATTTAATTCCCGATTCAGAATTTAGATGAAACTGAATCCATGATAGGAAATTGGCTGGACAGATAAGGAAGCGATTTTGACTAGATTAATGAAATACACGCTAGAATCAGTTCTATAATATCATTGGTGATCTTGTCAATATCAGACATAGCTAGATTTTATCACCAGCTCAACTAATTCTTTTAACATCACAAATTCCCTCTCTAAATTAAATCAGAAACGAAAGAATCGCTGCCAATTAGAAACAAGAACTGATTTAGAAAAGGAAAACGTTTGATCACAGCAAGCGTGTGTTTGTTCCAGTGTTTCGTTAACTATTATGTTATTATGAGTAAAGTTGTAAAACAGGGGTGTGTGTCAAGAATGATTAATAGCATATAACATCACCCTTCAGTCCAAACCGTCGACCATTTGTCCCCCTACACACTCGCTCTCTCAACCCACTTGAATTTCTACTTTCATAACGTTGGTGCTGCGTACGACAACTGTTCTAAAAACTCGGCCACTCGTTATATCTTTGCTTATTAAAATGCCAAATATAATGGGAAAAGGTCCATGTACAAGAGCTTAAATCATTCTTTTAAAAAATGAAATAGAATGGGAAGTTACAGCTGAAAATACGAAATTCTATTTCAATGGTATTCACAACAAAACAAACAACAAACAAAATGCCAAACAAGACGATTTTCTGCCCTTCAATTACATGGTTTAAACATATTTTTAGACCTTTGATGGTTATTTCAAATCTTAAGATATAGAATTCCGTTTAAACAAAAAGCACATTTAAAAAAATCATTACAATATATTTCTCAAGAGCGAAAATTACCAAAAAGTCTAGATACTAAATAACAGGATCCACGGCCAGTCTAGCTAAATGTTAGATAGTACTAATGGTGACAAAAATATTAAAGAATAATATTCATGATAATCATTGAGAGAGATTTATAATCTATAAGATTAATGACTAAATTATTATCAAATTCTACTTTCACAAAAAAGTCTTTTAAAAAAAAATATCAAAGAAACGCAATATTTTTGGTTAATTCATGTCCAATACAATGGAATTTATACAGTTATCAGATTGACTTTGAATTTTACCGAATTAGATTCAATGTTCGGAAAGTGACGTACAAACAGAGGACAGAGGGGTGAATAATTAGAAGGTCCTGTTGGCCAGTTTGTTTGAACAATTACATTGAACCTCATTTGTCACCGTCCAGTCGATGTCAAAGTTTGATAACACTATAGCATTGTTTCAAACTCAACTTAGTTCAAGTCGGCAATATTTACAAAGCTTTTATCGTTTCTTTTAATATTATTTGATATAATTTTCAAAGGAGGAAATTTAGTAAAAGCAAAATAATACGCGATTGAATGTTCTATCAATTTAAAATTAAAAAAAAAAAGTTTAAGTATCTATTTAGTAATCATTTTCATAGAGGTAAGACAATAATCTCTATTCACATCAGCACATAAATAAACTAAAATAAATGTCACAGAAAAAACATTTTGATTCCACGCATACAGATAGATAGTAATATTTGGTACATAAAAGCAATTATGTTTGGCTTGGAATATTCTACCAAAGAGTGTAAACATTGTTTTGAAATAACAAAAAACCAAAAGTTCGTCTTGTTAACGCATCCTTGAGATAAAGGTATCCAACATAAATATACAAAGTAGCCATTTCTCCTTACCTTCTATAAGATAAACAAATAATAGTACTGTAAACTAGTACCTCTTACTTCAACGACGGTCATAAATCATTTAACTGGTATCCTAACGTCTTCCTTAACTTATATCGTGTCAAATGCCTTACCAACTTCAAGTACCAAACACAAAAATAAAGACATAAGCAGAAATTGATTTCCTTACATTTCTATTCTTCATCTAGACCAACAAAAGGGCATCCATGTTGGTCATCAGTGTCAGATTAAATGTTTTAGCAAAAATATTTACTTGACATTGATCTTAACACCTTTAATTCTATCAAAATACTTATGATTTTACAATAAGCTCGTTGAGACATACCTGTTTTTATCACACTTGATTTCAACTGTATTGATTACTTGAGTATACCCTTAGGCTCCTCAAATCACCTAACATAGGTCTCTAACAAAACCCTATTTAACTCTCTTATTTTTCAAAACATTTTTAATTGGTTCATTTAAAACGATTCGACTTTATTGTGTAATACGTCACAGTTTTTGTTGTTCAACACATGTAAGAATTGATGACGAAAGGTTTACTTTTTATTTTTGCTCTGTGCTCCAATATTTTGAAATTTAAATAAAAGTTAAGCTACGTATTATTTTGTTCTTCACAGAAGACAAACGCGTTGTTAACAGATTTTCAAAATATATTGGTAAGATTTCATGTTTAGTAATACTTATGGAACCTTTATTCGGTGCTAAATGAATAGAGCCGTGTTTTAAATGATACGCCATAGTGTACATATATTGAGTTCTAGAAGAAACAATTGCATAGAGACATAACATATGTTTCTCAGATGTGTAAATATATTCATATATTCAAAAAGTGTAAAGTGAGTACAGATATTACACTGGTCAGCCAGTTCAACCAGTGGTCAGTTATTAAATTATCATTCATACCATATTAATATAACAACTGGAGTAATTTAATTATGTACATATTAACATCATGCACTATTGATATTTACAAGTTTCTAGTGTAGAATTTATACATAGAACCAACAAAACATACAATCTTTTATCATAAACTTAAAATTGTTGATGTTGCATTGGCAGTAAGCATGTTGTAACACATTTTAGTTTGTTTGATTACACAGAATCAAATAAAGTCTGATAATTATTAAAATGCATTGCGTCATGCTGATGCTATCTTCAATGTGCACCCTCCTTGATTGTAGTTGATAAACGATTAGGGTTTGGTGCATCCCGCCGTCGCATGACGTTTTATTGCCATTTGAAACACCTCTTGAGGTGGGCAAAATTGTCCTATGGTATGGACAATGTAAACTTTGTAACACGAGCTTTCTGAAAAGGGATTTCAAGTTAGGTCT